TGCATTGCACATTGAAACTTAATATAAAAGACATCCAGCCCTCTTGGACATTCTCTACATATTTCGAAGGTGATCTACACTGCCATCATCAGGAGAAGCAAGGAGTTACAATAAGATTCAACATATACACCTTAACTAATGTACGCGCATACAAGATTTAAATAATATACTTTAAACAGATGTACACGCATACAAGATTTAAATAATATACATAATTAGTCAATCTTTTACGCCCTTTAAAGTAAATTTCCAAAAAACTATAATAACCCCACCAGAATCTATTTAGATGGATACTATATTTTTTGATATTTCCAAAGATTCTGTTATATTTAATATAAGTTCAGTCATACATTTTTCAACTCAAAGCTCTTAATACTCATTACAGCCACTGTCCAATCATTGTTTTTTGAATCATTTAATAATGAATTTAGTACACTTTTATGATCTTTTTTAATCCTACGTTTCACTGTATCTTCATACTTACCATTTGAAATGTTTAGTTATATTATAAAGATCACGTTTTTGATTCTGTAAAACCACATTTATAATTTAGTGGAATTTTTTACCATTATATCAGTTTGTTTTGTAGCCTTATTCTCCCTACTCTTTTCCTAAGGTTATTCTTATTTCTGTCGATCAATCCAGTCCAACCACTTCAATATACTTGTTTATTTCAACCAATTTAGTTTTTATTCTACCAGGCAAAAAGTTTCTTAATTCTTCTCTTTTAAAATGTTCTTAAGTTTTTGTGGCTTTGTGTTGAATTTTCTGGTCTCCCATGATGATCCAATTTTACCATAAAAATTGGCCAAAGAACTTTCTTTGGTTCAGTTACTTTTATTTTAATTTTTTCAGTCCAGCCTTCTTTATTCCTAAGAATGTCTGTGGAAATATATTAAACCTTTTTATCTGGAAAACAAATTTTCTAAAATCTTATCATCATTTTCAAAAATGTGTTTCGGTTGTTAACTTCACTTGTTTCAGTCTAGTTTTATGACCAACATATATTTTCTTATCGCTTGTTCTCCCATGTTATTTAATGCAAATTAGAGATGCTGCTGTTTCCTTCTTTCATGTGAATAAAATAACCTGCATAACCTATATATTTTCACATTCTTGCTGAAAATTTCAGAGGATGTTTTTAATTCCTAAAAGATAACTCTATCTGCAAGCTATAGGTATGAAACTGTTTATATTATTTAAACAAATATGTCTGTACTCTAGACTGTTTTGCATATATTATATTGTGGTTAAAAAATAAGTCTCTTTTCATGCTATAATTTACCGTTCCACCTACAAATTGTATTGTTTTTACACTTTGTAAGTTTTACCAAGCAACGATATACTTTGTTTCAAAATGTTTGAATTACGGTTTGTTGACCGTTACGGTTCCACGCGAGTTTGTTTGTTTGTAATTAATTACAAAGCTACACAATTGGCTATCTGTGCTCTGCCCGCCACGGGTATCGAAACCCGGATTCTAGCGTTGTAAGTCTGCAGACATACCGTTGTGCCACTGGGGGGCGTTCCACACGAGATATTATCTTATTAAATAGCACAAGACGTGCTATTACTCAAAGGAAAATATGTCTATCAAGCATAAACTCATAATATACAAAATAATCAAACTAGGTATGCTATTGTTTAGAGATTGAATAAACTTATGTAACAAAATATAGCTAGAAACAATACATAAGATTTTTCAACTTGTCTAACATCTAAATTGTTCAAAGTAAACGTGAACAAGGGTTACAAAAGAACAAAATATTTTGTACATTAAAATTTCTTTCAGTTCTAGAAAATAAGGTAGATAACTAAAAGTTTTTTTAATTGTTCTCTTCTTCATTTCAAAATTCCGAAGCTGAATAGTATTATATCAGGTGAGTAATATTTTATGTTGATATAACAATGAAGACTATTCAATATAAGAACATAGGTTAAACAATAATTTTTTTAAAGTCCTAAATGTAAATGTTTATATGTTACACAATGACTCAATAACGTATGTTTTTATATTATTTGGGACCTGTTACACACACACACACACGTAACGTTCATTCATCAGAAAATACAGACACGTTCACAAATTCCAATTCGTGTTACCGTTTTCAATATAAATTAGCACGAAATGTGATTCTCATCTTGTCCAATCTGTACATATAAAAGTCTAATGTCCATCTGTCCACAAATCTCCCACCACAGTTTAAAAGTTCAATTTGGATGAAACTTCACACGATTTTTCAATATCATAAAGGGAAGGTCCTAATAAAGTTTCATTACAATTATATGTCTTATAAAAAAAGTTTATTTAGCGCATGTGTCCACTTTTTTAAAAAATAAGTCATCAACAGCTTTATATCACACCAAAATGGCCCCCCAGAGGCACAGCGGTATGTCTGTGGACTTACAACGCTGGAATCCGGGTTTCGATACCAGTGGTGGGCAGAGCACAGATAGCCCATTGTGTAGCTTTGTGCTTAATTACAAACAAATAAATCACACCAAAATAAAAAATGTTATAAAATAGACCCTTGCTAGAAATTAAACAGCTAATAGGACCTTATTTTATAACACTTTTTTTCCTAAATCGCTTTCTTAATGGATATTATTTCCCTTTTAATAATGTACATTAATTTTGAACATTTATCATGATAGACGAAATCAATTTTTTTTTTATAAAACTACTAAAATTGTGCTAAAGTGAGTTTAATGCAGAATTTCAAATTGACTCTTCCTAATGGAGAATAATTGTGATATTTCAGAAGGAAAGTGACTTTTTCTGCTGGAGAATTCAGTCGTATGCTATGAATTGAATTGTTCTGTGACTGAAGAAACAACAAGTTCTTCGTACGGAGTTCGTTGTATACAAATTTGCAGGAATTTTCTAGTAACTCGATCTTCGTAAGTTACACAAGTATCTTTTTACTTCAGTAAAAATTAACAAACGGAAAAGTCTCTTATCTGAAACTTTGAGAAAGAAAATGAAAAATCAAGATGCAAGTTACAGAAAGAAAGAAATGGGCTTACTCACCAAGTTATGAGGTAGGATCCGGTGAGAAGAAGCCAGGAACAAACCCGGAATACAGAAGCACATCAAATTGCTCACCAAGATGCAGTAAGAAGAGGTCAAGAGCCCATTGTGTAACTTAGTTACAAACAATCCCTTTTTCCCCCATCTGCTTGCTTGTTTGAGATGCTTCCACCGGTGGTTCAACGGTAAGTGTAAGGGCTGGTAACGTTAAAACGTTGTTTTTCGATACCCACAGTAGGGAAACACAAATAGTCTATTGTGTAACTTTGCGCTTAACAACAATCAGTTATTTATAGTGTTATTTGTTTCTTCAGTTTGTTAATCTATTTCTGATATCGTCTTTAATATCAATCTTGCAGTCTTTACTCATTAATGTATAAAACATTTTTTTACGTAACTTGCTAATCTCCATTTGTTTAGTTGAAGGAGTCATATTAAAACTTTTTTTTCACAATCTTTGCCTGTATGTTTGAGAGTCTTTCAAATAATATGTTGTAAAATTACTGGTTGCATATCTGCATTCCTTTTTTCAAAAAGTCACGACTACATTTTATTCTAGGATAAAACCAAACAACATAAAAAAGTAAAGAATTACTGGCAAGAGCTCTCAACTGATAAATAGACTAATTCAGTTAGTAAAAGTATTGTTTTTGTTTAGTGTAAAACTATATGAAATGGTTTGTATTTCACTTTGTTTATTGCGGGGAATTGAACCCAGGATTTTAGCTTTGTAAGTTCCCATACTACCTCTTGGCTCCCACTGGGTACTGAAAGTGTTGTTTGATCAAACTTTATTGCGTTCTAAATGTCATATTTCATTCCATACTCGACATCCTGTTTCATCTCTCTTGTAACCAGTTTTATTTACATATATCTCTTTCTACGGACAGGACTTATTTCGTAATTTTATTGGCAAAGATAAACTTGACTATTTTCAAAAGTGAGTTGAAGTAATTCAATTTGTGAAAAATTGTACACGACTATAAAAAAAGTTTGCAAGGTTTACAGACTATTTCCAACTACGGATATGAACAAGATGAATACGTTGTTGTTGTTTTAAAAGCTTTTATTATTTTATTCAACATTATAAGCTAATTTAGTTTTTTTTTCTAATTTTGTTATTCTCCTAAACAAATAGCTATGAACAGAGTCTGCTAAATATTATTTCCTCTTCTATATTATGGGTATTCAAGATTTTGTCCTGTTTCAGGCTCACGGAATTACTCCATATCAAGGAGAAATGGTACAATAAACAATGATGTTCACATTATAATATTTGTGCTACGCTAACAAATCTTTATATGCCACTCTATCAAATAAGTATTTTATTGTAGCAAACGACTGAGTTGAACTTGTTATATATTATAGCTATTAGCTTTGTTACAACTATTATTTATTCAGATGGTCGTATGTTGTAGCAAATAACTGATTTACAACTGTGATATAACAAACAACTTATGTGTTATAGTAAAAAAAGAAACTGTTATTATGGATTCCATGTTTTGTAACAAGTAGCTGGGTCCAAATATGATATATTATAACAAATAAGTGTTAGAATTGTCATTATTATGATGTAGAGAAAAGCTGTCTAATAACTTTTATTGATTATAATAAATATATATCTTTAACATTTGTGCTACGAATAACGTGTTAGAGTGAAAAACTGAGTTATAATTGGGATATGTTTAAGCATTTAAGTGCGTTACAAGAGTCGTTCTTTTAGGCTTTATCCTGAACTAACTTCCGCTTACTCTTGGCGTAATATGGGTCAGTCGTGGGTATTGTACACTAACACCACCTTTCGGAAAAAGAGTATAAGTCCTTGGGTATTGCCCGAGGGTAATCAACTGGTGCTCCATTATGTTTGTAAGATCAAGTAAACCTGTTCGACGCGTCCTGTACCTGGTACCTGTTTCGAAATGGCCTCCTTTGAAAGAACTGGACCTTTTACGCGCGACTATCACGTGCTTGTGAGCTTCCTTCAGTTAAAGTTGTTCCTTCGACCAAGCACGACGTGGCGTAAACAACGAACTAGTTCCCGCCTAAAAAGACGTCTTGTAAAATGGACCAGTTTCTGTTTTTTGTTTGAGAAGTCAATACAATAGAACTATAGTAAGCAGTATTGTTTGTTGTTAAGTATCATATTATCGTGTATTTATACTGTGGTAGAGTACTTTTGTACCATAATTTTTCGAAATGCTGAACAGACACAGGACCAGTAGTTTTTTGTACTTTTTACTGCTTTCTTCCATTGTAAAGTTTACGCTGGCTCAAGAAGACGTCAGTGAATCCCCAACTATTGGAACAGAAAATCAGAAGGTAGTAGAACTAGAACTTACAACGACTATTGCTAGTAACTTAAAAAATGACCCAGTATTTAGTTTAAGAACAACGACGGTTGTTTCTAGTACTGAGAATATAACACCGGGTTCTACACAAACTCAGTCAACGTTAAGTGTCATTAACAATATAGCGCAATCAGAGAGGAATGAAGAATTTACCACTACAGCCAATACAACATCGTCTACGAGTCTCATTTCTTCTCCAAATTCAACAGATGGCGCAAATAATATAGAAGATCGCTCCAGTTCTACGACACAATATTCGGTCGAAGAAACGACAACAATGAGTACGATGCAGCCATCTGTGTTGAGAAGTGATATCATATTAAATGTTGCAGAGGATAAAAATGATTCCCCGACAGAAAATGTGACCAAAGAAACAACAAAAAGAACAATAATAAAGGATACGACGTTTGTTTCAACCGATAAAACGGAACTAATGACAGAATCCTCTATACGAGAAGCAACCACAACACTGGTAAACGTACAACAATTATCTACTGAAGAAAATACAAGTACAAACACTGAAATAACTGACAAGGAAACACCAACAATAGAAGAGATGCACACTGATCAAACTACAGTAACGGATCCAGAGATAATCATCGACAAACAAACCTCTTCAGCTCCTTCCTTCAGCATAGTAAATGCGATGGATGACAACCAAGACAATATATCAACATCGACCATTGAAGAGCCAATGTTAAACGACAAAAGCAAAACGCCATCTTCGTCTACAACACAATTTTCAATAGCTACGGAAACAACAGAAGTTTCAACCCAAATATATACAGAAAGAGCAAACGAAAATACTAACTTCCCAGAATCAACTATTAGCACAGTTACAACCCCAAATCCAATATCAGTTCCAATAAAATTTGATATCAATGAAACTGAAAAGTTTCTTAGAAAAATGCCCCAACAATCCATAGAAACTTCAACCATGACAGAGACCACAAAAACAGAAGAAGACATTGATCTAGTACAAGTCCAATTACATGAAAAAGACTTAGACCAAAGGCAAGGCAAAGTTTTAAATCCTGAAGAACAACATGTAGGACTTTCCACCAACTCCTGTACGTGTGACGACAACATTCCTGCTTCTATTGATGAAACAAGTTGCCTTGGTAACCGTATTCTTTTTCATCCCAACTGTTCCTGCAGGAAGCTGTGCTTTGGACAATCTGGTCAAACCTGTTCTTCGTCTCGACCTTGTGACATAGAGTTTGGACTTTTTTGTAACCCGGATATTAACATCTGCCAGGGTAAGTATTTTTTTTCTTTCATCCATGTTGAACTACAACACATAAGTAGGTTATTGTCAGTTTCTTAACCTATTGAATAATACTCTCTTGTTTAGTATTTAATGGTAGGTTTCGTTCTGTATAGATGATGGAGCAAAAGACTATTCAGATGTATTGTTAGAAACCGTTTATAATCTAAATGCAATACCGAGACTCCAGCGAGATGTCTCGTTTCCTAAAAAACCTTTTAAATTTATCACATATATATATATATATATATTTAAATATATATATACATATATTGTTGCTGGTGTATTACGTCAATAAAACTTCACCTTCCAAGCTTCGTAGTGCAGGAGTTACTTTTCACATACACATATATAATACATATATATATATTTACATATATAATTCTGAAGATGAATTTTAAAGGCGTATAACAATTGAAACTGAAGTAGTGATTAAATTCAAGTAAAGCATGCAATATTTTTAATAAATATTATAATAGATTAGGGTTTTGTAAACAAATGTTTTAACCTTCTCAAAATAATCTAATTTAGAAATAAATAAATAAACTATTAGTAAAGAATATCATAAAATTAAAAATCCAGATAGAGATCAAACCAACTAGCTTTATTTTTGTGTTGCTGGATAATCTACTAATTTATTTTTCACATTCAAAGTTATGTTAAGTTTTATAGTAAAATATTCATCGTGAAAAACTACTTTGTTTTTATATTAATTACTCTTTGAAAGAAAAATACAACAACAATATGTTTTTAAAACATGTCCTCTGAGAATTCTGACTTTGAAATGCATGCAAACCGATTCGTCAACTTTTCTCACATAAGGCTTCGTACAAGTTAGGCTAAAAACACTAAAATGTTTTGAATTTCAATAATTTTTAATTTAAAGTTTTGAAGAACTGTTAGCAACATAAACAAAAGCTTTAATTTCTCAAGAACATTTAAAAGTACTAATAATAATGTTTTAGTAATGTTATTAGTGAATGCCCCCCAGTGACACAGCGGCATGTCTGCTGACTTAAAACACTAGAATCCGGGTTTCGATACCCGTGGTGGGCAGAGCACAGATAGCCCATTGTGTAGCTTTGTGATTAATTACAAACAAACAAACAATTATTAGTGAAATTATCAACTCTGTAAATAGTAAGATTAAAAGTAATAGGGAATTATGAAAAGAACGACTTCGCGTTTATGAAAATTTGTATCCTGTCTGTCTATTAAAGTATAAACATTTACTATATGTGTCTTTCTGACCTTCATCACGCGTTGCTGTAAAACAACGAGCCAAGTTATATTCTTAATGATACCAGTGTGCTACGTTTCAGTTAAAACTTATCTAGGTGCGAATAGTTGCCCTACTTCCTGCTTGCTAAGGCAGAAAATAATTAGTGAAAGCGTTCTCACGCACAAACCATTTTGTTAAACTTGGAGAGCTACATGAGAAAATTTGATGGGATCCTTTCAAATGACAAAACAATGTCATAACTATATTTACATAAAACAGTTTTACAAACGTGTTTAAAAGATGCGATCCTATATGTATCTCAAAGTTCAGGCTTTCTGTGTCATGATGATGAAGCTAAAAAAAAAATGCACGATTAGGTCAATTTCCTCTACGCATGCAATTAATAATTAGATTTGTACTGTATACATATTCATATATAAGCGATGAGTTGCCTGGCGTATCAGATGAGTCGCTGACCCCACCTGACCTGAGATCACTGAACTCACGACCTGAAACAATATAATGCAACTGGTTTCTTAACTTGATTAGAGACCACAAATGTTAACACCTCAGATTGAATATTGTATCTACTGAGGTCAAGACCTGAAGCTATTACAGCTATTATCTTTTATCCAAGAGATATTATAATTAATCGAACTAGCTTTTCTTACAAACAGCTACTCTTGTTACCTTTTAGCATTTATATCTCAGATTTTTCATTGTTACTTACTATACGATTAACTGTGTTGTTTGGTGTTCTAACACAAATCATGTTACTGCAAAATGTCAGTACTTAAGGTGTAGAAAAAAAAGGAATTAACAGAAATCTTGCTAAATAATCTACTTAAGTCTTTGCACTTGCAAGAACTAAAACTTCTTTTTTTGACGTAATATTTGTTAATAACGTTTGTTCGTTTTAGCGTAAAGCTACAAGACGGAATATTAGCGCTCTGTCTACCACAGAGAAACAAACCATGGATTTTAGAGTTGTACGAACTTAACCACTCATCCACCGTGGACAATACAGTTAATAATTGAGCTTTTGTTATTGTCTGTCATTCAGCTTTATCATATTTTTTTCTTAATGCAGAATTTCATGTTAATTCAATGCTTACCCATCACTGCTGAAAAGGGTATTTTCAGATTCCTGATGACGTTTTGTTTTTTAAATTTTATTAGTAACCTACTTTCAACTCCAATGACCATGAATTGAATGTAGAACACTGAACAAGACTCAGCTTCACCAGGCATGTGAGGGCGCTGCTGTTTAATAATTGGCAGGATGGTTTCCCGTGGGCTAAATATGTATGTCAAGAAACTCGGGTACTAAAATAAAAACCACTTTCTAATGTTTTTTTTTTTTGCCCAAAAATCTGGTGAAGGAACAAAGGGGATGATGTTGGGAAAATATTAGTCTAACTAAACACTCACACAGAGAGATGGAAATATGTTGTTTGGAGTTTAATGTAACGAGGCTAAAAACCGGTATGAGAAATGGGAGGAAGAAGATTATAGACGACAAAACGACTCGAATACACAAAAACTAGCGCAGGCTTGAGACATTATGCCAATTAAAAATAGGAATGGTTTTCTTCCACGCCTACTAGTTTGGCGCCCGTACTTCGCCAGTTTTTTATTATTATTTTACATTCAGCGACTGATATAAACAAACTAAATCACTTAGAGGTGAAGCTGTTGCATTCAGCCATTTAGTACTATGTATAATCTATCATTTTTAGAATAAAAGCGTTGCAGACTGGAATACATGGCCTTATGGTCCAGTGCTTTTATGTCCAGTCTTAATTGTTGTTTTTGAAACGTGCATTTCATTACAAAGTATCACCCACTCACCCCAAATTTTTCAAAAACGTCGGATGAAAACCAGTGATATTTTTTTTAGTTGAACTTAGGCGAATCGCATAGATTTACGACGAAAGAAATTTTAAATTCAAGATCAGAAAAGAAAGAACATTAAAATTATACACTGTACTTTCTACTGTTTAAGAGATACGAGTTCAACGCAAACACAGACACTCTTTAATGCCCCGGGCCCCCAGTGGCACAGCGATATGTCTGCGGACTTACAACGCTAGAAACCGGGTTTCGACACTCGTGGTGGGCAGAGCACAGCTAGCCCATTGTGTAGCTTTGTGCTTAATTACAAACTAAACTAATGCCCCGTTTTTGAAGAAATATTTGCAGAATTCTGCTTAAAATTAGGAAGGAACATCTTGGCGCCATGTTTTTATGTTACCAGTTTGAAGTAACTGTTTTATCCAATCAACCGTACGTTGAACCTTAACAGTATAAACAGTCTTGATCACGAATACACTACTGGTTTGTTTGGTTAACCGCTATTTCATTATGTTTTTTTATTCTTCATGAGCAAGGTGACTTTAAAAGTGTATAAACGAAAGACGATTTCACAGTTTACTGGGACGAGCTCGGCCAGGTGGTTAGCGTGTCAGACTATAAATCCGGGGTTCCGTGTTTCCGTGCCACATTATCGAAAGAAAAAAAAACGCACTTCGCACTTTTGGGCCATGGATGCGTTATAAGAGAGACAATCAAATCCCACTACTCGATTTGAGTATCCCACGAGTTGGCAGTGGATGTAGTTGACTAGCTTCCATCTGCCACTTCAAAATTAGGGACGGCTAGCGTAGATATCCGTCGAGTAATTCCGCAAACAACAACAGTTTTTTTTCCTGAGTATACCAGCCATTAAGAATTAAGTATCATCTCTTGATAATTTTATATTACTTCTTGTAAGCACTGTTATTAACATACGTTTTTAATTATCTTTAAGGTTAGTAATAATTTTTAAAATGCAGAAAACGTTAAGTAAAAGCTTAAAATAGGGTACGGTTGTCTTCAATTCTTTTTGTGTTTCCACTTCTCAAAATAATATTGGCAAAGTATTGATATTAATATTTTTGATTCAATTTAACTGATACAACAGAAAATTACATAAATCAATCATATTTTTGTAACAAAATGTGTTTGAAGATTACTGACATAAGGTTAAAAGCTTACAGAAAACATAGCAAAACGCCTAGATGTCAGACCTGATGAAGATCAAAGCTCAATACCAAACGTAAAGAACATTTATATTTTAAAGGTAATTGTAATTTGAGCTTGTAATAAACATTAAATATGAATATTTAATAAACTAGTCGAACAACACTGGTAAATACATAAAATTTTCTACATGAGTAACCTTTGATAGGATGAAAAATTAACAGGGGAACAATTATGAAGCGTTTTATGTTCGTTGTCATACGTTTGATGCATGTTCTTGTTTCCAATAAGAGGTCTATTACTGATTTCAGTTAATTGAACAAATTGGACTAACCTAGAGGCCAATAATATTTTCAAAATGATGATTTATCCTTCTGTTTTAGATATAAAGAGGGTTGAGTAGGCTATATTAAAAAATCTACTAAGCATATCAGTTCGTTTCGTTTTGTATTTCGCACAAAGCTACGCGAGGGCTATCTGCGCTAGCCGTCCCTAATTTATCAGTGAAAGACTAGAGGGAAGGCAGCTAGCTAGTCATCACCATCCACCGCAAATTCTTGGGCTACTCTTTTACCAACGAATAGTGGGGTTAACCGTAACAATATAACACCTACACGACTGAAAGGGCGAGCATGTTTGGTGGGGTGGGGGATTCGAATCCGCGACCCGCAGATTACGAGTCAAGCGCCCTAACCACCTGGCCATGCCGGGCCTAAGCAAATCAGAAAGTCATGTGACATCCAATGGCA